GCTTTAGTTTAATTCACTGTGTTAATGAAAAGCTCACTGTACCTGTTGGCCTCTTCCTGCAGCCTCAGTCTTCTGTCCTCCATCTTCCGCTGTAGCTAATGTCAACATTAAGGAAATCTCCAAACCACAGCATGAATAAGACGTGAGTATATCCTGGGAAATCTTATAAAGTTCATTAAAGCTTTAGAGAGTCAAACTATTCACATGTTGCCACTAATGTCCAAACCAATGGATTTTTCTTTGATAAGAAGCTTGTAACTACTTTTTAGTATTACAAGTATAAACTTAATCAGCAATCAGTAACTGATTAAAAGCTTCAGTCATTTTTCAAGCAAATGTAAAGGAGCTTTAAAAAAGCTGTACGATCTACAGATCAGCTGATGAAACACAGGTAAGCTGCATTATCAGTGTCACCACGTTTTACATTTGTACGACCGTTTAACCAGAGAGATTTCCAACACACTGGGAAGTCTCATTTGACTAATATGGATCAAAAATCTGCTGGTGTTTAGTCTGAATGTAAAATATACATCTTTGCATTTTCTGCTGTAGCAACAGGTCAACTTCACAAGTCATTTAAAGGCAGCTGGTTACTCAGAACTGCTACAACTTTCAATAAACTTTGTCAAAGCATATTTAATATCTAATAATAATAATAATAATAATAATAATAATAATAATAATAATAACAACAACAACGATTGTGGGTCAGCATCACTGACTGAGGAAAGTGAACTTCACTGGGAAAGTGAAGCCACTACACTCCACCAGCCTCCACTGACAAAAACACTCAAATCACCTTACACAACAGAGTTTGGCTCAGCAAGTTAGTTTGCTATTGTGTGATTTTGGTGTTTTGCAGTGTTAGTGTGGATCCAAACTATCCACAGCACTGAAGCCACACCGTGACTGGAATCTAAAAGTACTGTTTATGCCAGTGGAGTGGGTGATTCTGCAAAGAGTGATTTCTTTCTTAGTGTGTTGTTTCCACAACTAACTCTGCAATTTAAACAAGGCGATCCAAAAAGGAGCGCTTAAGTCAGAGAGCATAAAATTTAGGATACATCAAACAACAATAAAAGCAAAGCTTATTCAGCTAAAGGATGAACGTAAAAAAAAAGAAGAAGCAAAAATCAACATTCCTAAATCAGAAATCCGGTGTTTAATGTCCTTTTCCGCTTTAACCGTTCTCTCTTCTCCTGGCCCAATTCCCAGCAATGTACCACCTACTTCATTGGCATTTGAACATAATGCAAGCATCAAGGCGGGGATTGTTGCTCAAAATTAATGCACATCTTTGGTTTTTTGCATTTGGATTGCTACTAACCTTAAAGCCCCATGCAGTAAATCCAACTGTTTACCATATTCAAAGGATACAGCATCCTGCCTGGCTTTGGCTATGATGAGGTTCTCCATCATCTGCCGCTGGAGAGAGAGTGTCTGAATGGGGAAAATGGAGAGAAGGCTATTTACTTATTACTTTACTTCACTGTATGCATCTTTTCAATAAAATGAGATCTAATCTTGGACTCTACTAAAATAGCTGAACATAAATCAAAGTTCAAAATATTCCCCTGGGCCTTAATGCAGCCTTTCCTCTATTTGAGAAAAAAAA